AGTTTATGCCGAAGGGGAGCTTAGAGAACCACCTGTTTAGAAGTAAGTTACCATATATCCATTAGATTGTTGTGTCCTTGAGAATGGTCTCCATTGAGTTTGTTTTGCTAACTTCACTTAGGAAAATTGACAGGAGGACCGCAACCGCTTTCGTGGTCAGTGAGGATGAAAGTAGCCATTGGTGCTGCCAGAGGACTCTCTTTTCTTCATAATGCCAAATCACAAGTCATATACCGTGATTTTAAAGCTTCTAACATCCTACTGGATGCTGTAAGAATAATGAGAATATATATGATATTATTTCGTCACATTTATTATCTGTATGAACTATTTTGTACTTACTTACCATGGATTGGGATTGTAGGAGTTCAATGCTAAGCTCTCTGATTTTGGATTGGCTAAGGCAGGTCCTACTGGTGACAGAACTCATGTGTCTACTCAAGTCATGGGTACTCATGGATATGCAGCACCTGAATATGTGGCAACTGGTATGATTTAGCTGAGGAACTAATGACAAGAAATGCGTGAAAGATATTCCTTCAAAATTGTATTCCATATATTCTTTTCAAAACAAGCTATTTTGTTGCTCTGCTTATGTTTTTATGTTATTCTGTTGCATAGGGTATATCAGAAGAAGTAAAAGTAAAACGTTATACTAAAGCTCTAATTAATTGGCAGGTCGACTGACAGCTAAAAGTGACGTATACAGCTTTGGGGTTGTGTTGCTTGAGCTTCTGTCCGGAAGAGGCGCTGTTGATAAAACAATGGCCGGTGTGGAGCATAATCTGGTGGACTGGGCAAGACCATATTTGGGCAATAAGCGAAAACTATTCCGTATAATGGATACCAGGCTGGAGGGGCAATACCCACAAAAAGGAGCCTTGATGGCTGCCACACTTGCTCTACAATGCCTTAATGGTGAAGCCAAGGCAAGGCCTCCAATGACAGATGTTTTGGAAACTCTGGAACAGATAGAATCCCCGAGAAACCCATGCCGAAACTCCCATTCAGAACATCAAAGGGGAGTCCACACACCTGGAAGACGATCTCCTGCGCCAAACCGATCACCTATGCACCTGACTCCAACCGCTTCCCCACTCGCATCTCACCAGCAATCTGCTCCTGTGCACTAAGCTTGTGTTGTGAACATTTGTATGTAAATTTTTTAATTTCTGTCAGGGTGTGTTGTACAACATGGTGTGTTGAAGCATGTACTTAGAATGCAGTTTTGCAATAGAATAGTTAAATATCATTTATCAACAAGCCAGGGAAGTTATCTCCATAGCAGTATTCTGCAATTTTTGGTTGCTTTTCTACCCTTTTCATTACTTAATGTCTTGAAGAGTAATGGTGCTTTAAGAACTAAAGTAGCAAGCCATATTAACAAGATTGCAAAGAGCTACATGGTTTTTCATCTATGGAAGAGGGTGTGGAGAAATATAACAGGAAGAAATTCTAATATGCTCCTGGATGTAAATTTTAAACAAATCAACTTAATGAATGGTGAAAACATTTTTGAAGTTTGTATTTGTTGCTATTCCAGGAACATGTAGTAGTAATCTTTAGTTTTCTACTAGTAAGATTGTGTTTTAAGATTTTAACCCACTCAAATGAAAAACTTTGATCCTTATAGTCCAATTCAGTTTTACATTGTATAATGTTCATGCCAAAACAACATTCCCAACACAAGGTCCCAGAATGCTTACTTTTACTTAAAAATAAATGTTTGGATACTGAAGTAATCAAAGATATACGAATAATATCATCTCGATATCCAAATATCTTCTAGATATTCTTTATAAGATAATTTAATATATTCTAAGATATTTTCATAAATTATAATAATATGCCTTCTTAATTACTTTATGCTCTTCTTGCTTCTTGGTGTGGAAAAAAAAATCCTAAGCTGTTCTATTTATACTGTGATGTTACTACAATGTTGTTTCAGCAAAGTATACTGGTAAATTGGTAATAAATCAGAGAAAAACTTGTTGTGAACCTAGACAGTTTAAGAGCCCAGATAAAACAGTACTCAGTACTCACCAACAGAGAATCTTTGTATCAGAGTGGTATCCCATTTTTCTTTATTCTCTATCTTTCTGTTTGTTCCAACTTTTCACTTTTAACTATTCTCTGACATAAGATCATTATCCAGAATCTGGCATGCAAATAAGGTGGTATCTTATCTTATGTAATATAATAAGGCATCATTAATTAAAAAGGCTTCTATGGTATAATTTTTTTATGCAGACGGAGACATTGATATATAAAGTTAGTTTTTAGATTTGTATTTCATTCATATAAACAATGTCAAGTGTTACCCAACACATTTGAATGCTTTTGTGCTTCAATGACATAGAGAGAATCATTTATTATTTATAGGGGGAAAAGAAAAGGAAAATGAAAGCTTCTTTATATAATGGTGGTGCTGCATGGAGGAGGACCACTAGAACATAATATATTATATAGTCAGAAGAAGGATGAAGAATATATTATATAGAGTATCCACTTTACTCCTTAAAATGTTTTATTTGTATCAATTTCATCTCACAACAAAAATTAAAATTTAGTATCGCAAATATAAGTTAAAATATTCTATATCATAAAATATGCTAAAAAGAATTAATGGTTTGACTCACATTTATTTTTAAATTTTTGATTGAAGGTACATGTGAAAATTTGAAGGACTAAAAAAATATGTATTTAGTATATTGTTGAGGTTACTTAAGTGTATATATAATCTTCAATGTTAAATTAAACCTTATCAGAAAAAGTATAAAAAATTGTCCTAAATTAGTAACAACTTGGTAAGATACTTGATTCTATCAACAGAAGTTGTTTTGGGTGCTTTCAAATGTAGATATATGGTCCTTGCATGGCATCAGGAACAAAACCTCAATGGATGATATAAATTGAAAACAAAGAGAGAGAGAGAGAGTGCATATTGTGGGTTTATCAGTTTAACATTTAGATTAAACTCAATTTTAATCTAAATTGAAAACCTCAATTTGGTTGGTTGCATAATTTCTGGAAAAAATAATACATTTGTACTTAGCATTTTCCCTTAATATATTAATTTTATTTCCAAGACACATAATCAAGAGTATGATTCGATTTTAATGTCTTAAATTAGAGTATGATACACAATGTTTTCTTTAAATCTAAAGGAAAGAATAATGTTATTAAACTTAAGATAATATTGTTGAGAATATCCAAGCACTTAAATCTATATTTTTTTTAACTTTACACATAATTTGTTCCTTTCTTTCTTTTGTGAACTTCATTAGTTCGTTCTTATAAACATATTATCTAAATCCCCACTCAAAAAGACTATTTTTTTTTTATATTTTACATCCATTTAATATAAATCTAAATTATAATGTGTCAGCAACATCATGATGATTTTGAATTTTTGATACAATCTTTTTAAGAGATTGTCAAAAGTCTTTCTATAATTAATGTCATTTTTTCGAGTAAATATTTTTGTAACTATTATAGTTTTATAACATTTTAAGTTGCCATGAGTTTAATCTTTACACACTCACTTCCAACCGACTATCTTACAACCTTAGTAACTTAACATATTCCTAAACTTAATTATGCTTCATGGTGTTTATATCTTCTTTCATAACATCTAACAATTTATTAGAATTATCATCGTTCATGGCTCTTGAGAAAAATATCTGATTTTTTTATTCTAAGTTAACTTCCAACTCATGTATATAATTATAAACCATATAGTCATAAAATTAATTAATTTCATTGCTCTTCTTCGATGTCTTCTTAATACTATTTGTCATAGTTCTTCTATAATAGACTCATTTACTTTAATTTCATTGTGAAAATTTTGATCATTTATTTATTCTTCTTCATTGTTATGAAGTGATATGTTCAATAGTATCAACACATATGTAAAAAAAAAAATAGTTTCACTACATCAAAATTCTAAAACAATTGTGCTTAAAATTATCATTCAATAGCGTTTTTATATTAGGCATTATCTATGTAAGCAAAGGATAATGTAGGATTAGATTTAACAACGTCGTATAAAGTATGCATTTAACAATACTCACTCAAGAGAGCTATGTTAAATGGGTACTCTACACCCACGCAAGATCAAAGAAGCATTGTTGATTGTTTGATATAATATTACTCTTAATGCATCATTTGATATATCTAATTGTATCTTCATACATACATTTAAATGAAGGACGTACGTCTAACAACACACATAATATACCAACCACGAATGTATATTCAAAACCATTATATTAATTATATTTATAATCTAAAGTTTTGGCACAGGCACTATAACTAAAAACAAACAAATTAAAATTAAGATAAAGTTATATACACATCCTAATAATGATAAATACTTGCTTGGAAGAAAATATAGATTTACCAAAATCTTCTCATAATGATCAACACTTCTATATAATTCATCGTATGTAGTTGGACTGCTCTTACGCGATTGTGATGTCGCAAAGAAATGATCATCATCAGCGTTAATATCATTGTTATCTTAGTCATCAATATTAGTGAAAAAAGTATTTTTGTTCTTACACATTTAACAACGATCGGTGAAACCAGCGTCGGTTGAATCTGTAAGAAACAATAACGTTCAAGCATGGCCACTTGAGTTGGAGCAGCTTCAAATACAAGAAGTTTCTCAAGCATTTTAGTTGTTGATGGAGTTTAAACAATGTCAATTCTGACCAAAGTTATATTCAGAGTTTCATGCAATAGAACCAGTCGCAGCAGAATGTGGAGAAAAATACTTGAAGGCCAGTGTAGGTAGCTTAGCCAATAGAGAAAGTAAAGAATCAAAATTGTTAAGTTATGAGCATCATAATAAAATTGTGTAATTAATAATCAATATAAAAATATAAGAAGGAAAACCAAAACACAAGTAAAGTTGAGCATAGCCGTTACCCTAAAATCACTATTTTGCACTGATAACACTTGAATGTTTTGACTTGCTACACGTATAGTACTGTTGATTGAACCTAGGAGTTCCCCCAAACACTTCATTGAAGAAGAATTATCATTTGTAATGAAATTAGATTAAACTAATTAGCCTCTCATATGAAGCGTTCAGAAGAACTCCAAGAGATAGCCAACAAATAATTAATAATCCTTTAATTACACATGCTTTTCAGTTTTCACTATACCTAGCTACTTATCATGGTTAGACAAAATGTACAAGTATTCTATATATAGTAGAGACATTATGCCCATAATACAAAATAAAGCTATAAAGGTGAAAATGATTTTTCTTTGTAGATTAATTCTACTTGCTGAACCTGGTCAGGATGTTTGGCAAGAAGAACTAGTGAATGAAGAAATACCCATATTGTAGTGAGTAGCAAATTAAAGTGGGCTTGTTTTTGTTGGAAAAGTGATTCAAAGCATCACAATCTAACAAAATATCTATCCTCAATATGTTCCTTTCTGTCTTTTTCATGGTTATGAATTTTATCACAGATGTATAAGCATAAACTTGTTGTTAGGAGAAAGAAAATTAACGAAAATCTCAGTCTTTTTTTCCCGGTCTTTAGCTATATTCCAGCTTGCCTTTTGCTTTGGGGAATAAAACACAAGTATGCTGAGAAAGTTTAATGTCTTTTTTATCATTACCGATCTCTTTATTCTGATTCAAAGTAAGGATCTCCTATATATTCAGAAAGACCAAAAGATTAATAGTTTGATTTTGAAAAAACCATAAGATCAAAAGTTCAATTCTATAAGCGATACTTATTAGGAACCAATCACATATTCTGAAATAAATTAATTTCGGGAGATATACCATTAATAGCGAAAAAAACATAATCACATTGAAGGTTTTAAAAAAATGGCAGTTGTCACAATTTATGTTATCTCCATATCATGACCATGGGGTTACATCGACCTCATTTTGTATCTGAAATCATGATAATCATGCTAAAATCACAATTTTCTAAACCTACTTTAAAACCACATGAAATATGGTAATTACATCTAGCAAAATATTCATGGTATTCTTAAAAACATTCTTTAACATTAAAATGGTTTATATAAAAATGTTTTCTGCCAAATAATAAAGTTTTAATCACGCTAGATGAAATCAGCTACATAAAATTATAATGTTCTATCATAAATCTTATTCTACTGTACCTAAATTAAATGAGTGAATAGAGGTTAGTGCATGCACCAGTTTTTTGAGTGATGACATGACATTTGTGTAATAATTTTTTGTAACTGTCATAATATCTCCCATCCTCTGATAAATGATTAATTCTCTCCACTATCTTTTTCAAAAAAATGTGGTATTTCCAATAAGAGTGAATAAAAAACAAACATAAATATTTGAATAGTACTGAAGTACAGTACATTGTAAAAGCATAGGGCTTGTTTTATCACTTTATGCTTATTGCTTAATTTCAAGTAGCTAGTGCATAAAACAAGAATATAGTCAAAGGACAGAGTGCTCAACTTGGCTTTTGCATAACCAAAAACATTAATTCTACAGTTGCATTAGCATCACATATAATAGAACCCATGAAAGTTTGAGTTGACACACTTTGACGTATTAGATTCCAGTTAACACTTGTCTAAGTCTTTTTGCATTGGAAAAGCTTCAAACAGTGGACATGTCAGAATAGCATGTGGCCACTCGATACCGATTGTCGTGATAATATTCTCATTCTACTTCACTTCCCTTTAGTCCATTGTTGAGTCTAGGTTCACTTGTTTACATTAACAATTAATACTCTCATAAAAAATAATAATAATCCATTAATTACCCTCCATATTCTTTGTAGCAATTTAGAAATGATTCTGTATACTCAATCAAAGAAACTTGACAGTAATCAGCAATTTTCTGTGGGTTATTCTTCTTGCGGATAAGCATTATTATGAAATTCCGTATCATTTCAAAGGGTTTTCTGATTATTAGTTGTATAGTTCAAATATATTAATTAAGAACTTATAGAAGAAGGAGTAAAGTAAAAGCAAGTTCAAGGAGAAAGTGAACAGCAAATTACGCTGAGGAAGGAATTCAAGATTCAAGTAAATTAGTTAGGGTTTGACTCTTGGAAAGCGTTGGAAAAAAAATACCACGTCCATGATTAAGAAGTTTTTTTTTACAAGAAAATGATGTGATGAGTATGTAGAATAGAGATAATAAACACATCCCCACAGATTTATTGGAGGACAAAAATGTTTTAACTTTCACAATTACTACATCTTTATCATAATTGAGGAGAAACACGCCGTCACAATTGTGATTACAATATTGTTATAAAAACACTCAAAATTATAATATTGAGATTGCAATTTGATTGGGGAGTACAATTTAAAAGCCTAATTTAAAAATTAGAGATGTGGCTCACTATACAAGATTTCTACAATTGAGAATTTTCAAATTGAACTATACATATATGTATAAATAGACATTCTTTAAGAATACCGATTTTATGGGGGATTGATTCACTTCACCCATAAAAAAGAAGGGAGAAATACTCATTCACATTTTTCTAACTACAAATTCCATGACTCCGAAAATGACTGAAGGTGTTTGAGCAAGGATCTTATGTTAGCTTTTGATAATTATTTTGGATCACTTTTACAGCTTTCATCATCCACTGCAAAAGGGACCTATCTTTATTCAGTATCCCCTTCTTTGCCACAATTCTGACTAAGTTCATAGGTATATAAGAAAGAAACTTCTTTTAAGTAGATTTCTCCATGCCCACATAAAATTCACCTTTATTTTGTTCGATCTCTTAACACATAAATTCTCCACCATAAATAGAATGGTTGCTGTGCACTACTTATCTAGCCAAGACAAGTATTGAAACATGAGTGAAGGATTAATATTTGTTGGTTGTATCTTGGAGTTCCTTTGAACGCTTCATGTGAGGGGCTAGCTAGTCTAGTTATCTAATACCCTTCTGAAATGAAGTGTTTGGGGGAACTCTTAGGTTCAACTAACACTGCATTTATTTATTTCCCTAACTATTTCATTTGAAAACTTCACAATGGATTATCATTATTGCAAGGCTCTGATACCAATCTTCAAATTTACATTTAGCAAGGCTCACCAATAGGGACTCAAGTGTTGAGTTTGATCCTGAGACACGTGCTGGCTGACTTCGATGCAGGGGTGTAACATGGGCATTGGCTTTAATGCAAGGTGTAACAGGAGCATTGGTAGAGATGCACGGTGTGACATGAGCATTGGCTTGGATGCAAGGATGTGACACGAGCATTGGTTAGCATTGACGCAAGGTGTGCTTTGTGGGTATACTCCGTATGGTAGAGTATGATAGTTCTTTTGAACTATGATTGTCGGGCTAGACAATGGTTGTAGTGGTTGAGACTTTCCAATGAAGCTCCAAGGTTCAGCTTGACTGAGTATTGAAGAAGACGGTTGTTGGTGAACTTTTGTGTAGAGGTTCCATATATCGAAAGACTTCCAAGCAATAGGTGGCTAGGCGACGTGTTCCATTGGATGGCGGTACGAGAAGCTGCACTAAAAGTTTGGAGAGTTGGGCTCTTGGTAACATCGTCAAGGATACTTAGTTTATGCTAAAGGGGAACAATTTGTTAAAAAGAATTATGCATTGAGCAAGGTGAAGTCAGATATTCGCTAAGGTGGAGAATCTTGTGTAGATTTCCTAATGAGCGAGATATCCATCTATTTCAATCAAGGTGAAGATTATTGGAATGCTTGAAATATGTTATTAGATTAGTCTCACATCGCCTAGTGTTGTAATAGAGTAGAGTAACCAATGTTATATATTGGACTCAGGTATCTTGTTGTAATGTGCACCAGATATAAACATCAAATAGAAACACCCCATGGACAGTTGGGCCATGGGTGTGATAGGGTTTGTAATCCTTATTCTATAATAATATCTTGGTAGCCGCTCAGCGCTCCCGGGGACGTAGGCACAATTGGCCGAACCCCATTACCAAATTCTTTGTTTTCTCTCTTCTATTTATTCGATGCATTATTTGATTGTTTGTAACCAACGCTGTGCAACGATCACTTCCGCTGCACCAACAGAAACCACAAGTATTCTTTAATTTTCCTATTTGTTAGCTCAATGAGCTAGTACTTCCTAGTTACTACCTTGAATTTTTGTGCACATTACCTTTTCATTGTCTTCTAATTGATTCATGAGAATTTGTAGGCAAACAAGATTTAACAAGGTCAGCATAGTGGGTAAATGAGTTCCTTAAATATGATATCAAAGGATTCATTGCTATAGTGTAAGTATTGGTGAAAACATGCTAGATTAGACCAAACTTTGTCTTAAATAGGCTGAACCTATATAGTATATAGGAGTCTGGGCTTGGTCTGTTAGTCTGTTTAAAAAAAATCAAAGTCTAGGTATGATCTGTTTAAAAGCTTGGTCTGATCTATAAGCATGTTTAAAGGTTTGTTAAGATAAAAAATAAATACATTATGTACAAGCTAGGAAAAATTACATACTTACATGGGTTGAGTTATGTAATTAAGTCGTCTCAACAACTAAATTTCTAATTATTATACAGTCTAATCTCTAAGTCATAGTAAATTTACATAAAAAAATTATAAAAAATAATTTATAAATATATAATAATATCACATAGGTCGCGGGCTATTAGACTTAATAAGTTTTTTAAAAGGCTTGAACATGACCTATTTAGGTTAAATAAACTATTGTAAAAGTTTAAGTCTGACATTTTTTATCAAAAATGTATAGTATGATCTAACTTGTTATATGTCAGATATTAAGTCCCTTATAAGTGTAATGATCTGTTTCCACCCTTAAGTGTATATATATATATATATATATATATATATATATATATATATATATATATATATATATATATATATATATATATATATATATGTAAGAGACAAAATCCACATTGAATTGATATCTTTGTGTCTAAAAAAAGATTAATATCTCATCCTAGGCATGGGTAGTCTTAGTGTAAAAAAATAAGGAAAATCATATATTCTTCTATTAAATCCTCCTGCCCACAAGAAAGTGACATATGTCACTTGTAAACCAATCACCAATAAATAAAGTATCATTTTGTGACATATGTCACTTTTTTGTGGGTAGGAGATTAGTAGGAAGATTTAGTAGGAGAATATAACATTACTCAAAAAATGAGAAAAAATGTATCTATAATTACAGTATAAAATTTGTATATAGTGTCAGTTTATTATCCACAATATCGTAACAATGTATAAATATTATACTAAAAAAGTTATGTGATTCAAATGAAGAATTGGAATAGTAAAACTCATGGAGATATGTGTCTATTGTTACATGTCAACCGCTACTAAAAAATTTAAAAACAATATTTTGGAACTTTCTTTAATTTGTAGACAAACAAGGCAGTGATGGCACCATAAAAATTGGCTAGTTTGACGTGGAAAGTAGCGAGGAATGATTACAATTTACAAACCAAGAACAATGTTAAAAGGGGAAACATTTTGAAACCATGTGTGATTCTAAATATTAAATGTATCAACTCTTACGATCCAATTTACATTTTGAAATTTCTTAAATACAACCAATGGCAAAATTCAATTAGTAATTCTCATTTAACTTTCCTATTTTTCTGAGATACAAAATTAGTTGTCAAAGTTTCGCAAATTAGTCCCTTTATTTCATATTTCTTTGTTATTTAAGACTAATGTATACATATTAAGATATTATTAAAAAAACATTGTATTTTGACTAAAAAACCATATTTATTTTCTAAGATATAAGAAAAAATAAAATTAATTAATGATATGTATGAGTACTGAATAAGGATGGAATACTTTTTTGTTGTTGCCAAATGTTGAAATTAAAGTATATAAAACAAAAGAAAAACCTAAAATAACAATAGATAAAGAATGATGGAAGTAATGGCTAAAAACATAGCCAAGCATTTAAACCATGATTATATAGTAAATAGCATAATTATGAGGATCCATTAATGTAGAGGATCATATTCCATAAGAGTAATGTTATATCCTCATACTAATTCTTATACCTACAGAAAAGTTTTTCTGACATATGTCACTTGTAAATCAATCACTAATAAATAAAGTATCATTTTGTGACATATGTCACTTTTTTGTGGGTATGAGGATTAATATGAAAATTTAGTAGGAGAATATATTATTTTCCATGAGGGAATGAAAGGTGAAGCTTGTGCTTACTCCTTAAGTTTTCCCTACACATATTATTTATTTATCTGGTAATCTTATCAAATATGGCATCATAAATTAAACCACAAGGAACATAAATAAACAATGGTGCAAAAAAATATTGCACCATAAGATAACCCAAATAAGTTGCTTTTTCATGAAAGATTCATAGTTCTATTGCTCTAAAACTAACCTTGATTTCCTTTTCATATCATTATCAGCAGAAGAAGTTCGCAGCAATATGATCCTTCCAAGGCTTGTTCATCAGTGATTCCTGGAGTTCCCCCAAACACTTCAATAAGGAGAATCCATATAAATGATGAATTCCTTACTGAAATGGTTAGAGGAATTCTAGGAACACTAGATGCCTATATTTTCATTCTTTCTGATTAGGTTTGTATTATAGTACTACTATGAGGTAACCTTCACATATTTATATGTTATATGCTATATATACATGTACATAATTATAGGATGACGTATATTTATTAAGTTTTCTACTACTCAGGTTGCATTTATAAGGAATATAATATATGACTGTAAATATATGCTATATATATATATATGTATGTGAACCTAGACTAGCATATGGGATATGTTATGGATGATTGTGAAGGGTAAGGCCACTTGACAAAGTCAACAGCTTATAAATTTCTTTACTACCCTATCATTGCCAGCTTATTTTTCAGTAAAAAAAAAACCCTTCTAGAAGAGTATGGTGTATATACACACATTGAAAAAGCTTCAGAATATACAAGGGGTAATACAATCTTTGCTTATCGAAAAAAACTTCAGAATTTACAAAGGGTCATTAGAGAATCTTCCATAATCAGTCAAGGCAAATGCAACAATAACTTGGACTACACTTTTCCTTGTCCATCTTCCTCAGCTGGTTAGTTAAACTGTGGGGTTGTTTGCTGCATTTTTTTTGTGTATTCAACTTTCTTGGAAATAACAATAATTATTACATTTACACACATTTATGGGTGTACATTGCTTCACATCATCGAGTATATAGGTGAAGTTGGTTAAGGAATAAAAAAACTGTTACTAGAATAGTCATTAGCTATGTATTTTTATTCAGAGAAAAAAAATATATACTAAAACTATGAGTTTACTTTTTAATTTAAATTTAATACAATCCTTAACAAGACCTAAAAAATAAAATGAGATTAGTTATAATAAAATAATCAAAATGATAAAGATGTAAGGTGACATGATGATCCCATATAATAATGATTGAATTTAAGAAGATATTCTGGTATGAATAATTGTAGATTAATAATATGTCATAGGGGATTAAGAGAAAATGCAATATCAAAATATATTTCACCCTTGAAAATAAAATATGACTAAATTCATTATTATTTTTATTTTTGGTATTTAATGAAGCATTAAATGTGCTAGAAATTTCTAACGAATTAAGGTACCACTATAAATTAAATAGCTCTGAAATGTTACATATTCTTGCAAAGAATTAGTATGGAAGAAAGGGAGATGAATTGTCCCTTGGATACTTCATTAGTAACATTAATTTCATTAAAAATAAGATTATAGTTACATCCACTGAAGTGTTTGGGATAACTAGGAGCCACACCTAATGCTAAAATCAGGTAGATATTCATTAGTAAATAGTAACTATATATGATCACCTTTCAAGCTTACCCAAAGTATATATATTCACCCTACTACAAAGTTTCATAAATTTCAATTGAATCAGGCGTGTGAACTATCCAAATGGGTGATTATGCAACCTTTAATTTTTGCAATCAAAATCATGGTGGTTAGGGAGTTTAATAATTTAATTTGGTGCAATTATATGAAATAAGGCTTCTCACATTAATTGAAATAATTGTTTGAACAACACCACAAAGGCTGAATATTTGATATATACCCACCAAACCAAAGTACTCCTTACTACAAACAAATTTAATACAAGACTCTGATCATAAATATTATCACTCTTCTGTATCTCTGACCACAAATAATAATGATGAGTACAAAAATATAAAGCGTATTTTTTACTCTCTTAATTTTACCTCCTTCAAGTATCTTTGTTCTGAATGATTATTATGTAAAATCATCTTCTCCATCGAGGTTGGATCAACTTATTATCTGCAATAAATAATATCCAAAGAACAAAGTGATGAATGGAAACAGTAAAGCTTCAATAACAACTAGAGTACACTAACATTCCAAACCATGAAGAGCTTAAAAAATACCTTCAAATACAAGAAACTAGGATCAAGCATTGTAGTAAACTATTCTCTATAAATGACAAAACTCAATCCTGAAACTAAAGGTTATTCTTTTTAAACAACCAAGTGAGCTTTAGCATTGTTTTTCATGTCCTGAAGCCAAGTATAAATAAGCATTCATGACAAAGGCAAAATTTTCTCACCCAAAAGACTCTTTATGAGAATTTATATTAACCATGCATTTCAGTACAAAGATATTTGGTTGCAAACTAGAGTTTTAACCTATCAATAAATGAGAAAGTAAATGCTTACCAGTCCCATTCCCATCCCTTAAAGATGAGAGAGATCTATCAGTTCTTATCCTTCCTCTGCCACTTATAACCAATCTTTCAGATCTAGGAGAAAATGAATCCGAGTTGACATTAAGTGACGATGAAAGTGAATGCCGTCTTGTTACACTGTTATTGTCTACCAAAGAAGAAGCCAACCTTGGAGAGCCTTGTGCTCTTATCCTAGCTTTTGCAGATTCGGTAGGAGCCATATAGCTCGGTAGTATTGGACTGTTTTGTGACTCATTATCTTGATCATTAAAATTAGCAGGTAGCGAAGCTCGTCTTTGGTAATTGTTGCTGATACGATAATCGTCACCACCGCCACCACTCAAGTCCTCACTGACTCCTTCAATTACTTCATCTAAACTATTATTCATCACACTAGTCTGCAAGAGAACCATAGAATTATCATTTGGCTCATTATCATCGGGCTCATTGTCATGTGGCTCTCCCACATGTTGTCCGGGACTTTTCTCGGTTGAAACTGCCAAATCTGTCATTTTCTCTGAAGAGGCACTTTGATCCAACTTTGAAACCTCTGTGTCAGTATGAACTGAAAATACTCTTGTTCCTTCATCTGTAACATTCATCGCACTAGTCTTCAAGAGATCAAAAGGATCATCGTTTGGCTCATTATCATGTTTGTCTTCCACTTGTTGTTCAAGACTTCTCTCAGTATCAGACTCTTTTGATTTTGACACTGCCAAATCTTTTGCTTTTGACACAGCCAAATTTTTTGCTTTTGAAACTGCCAAATCTTTCATTTTCTCTGAAGAGGCACTTGAGCCCAGCTTTGAAACATTAGTCACAGTATGATCTAAATTTTTTCTAGTGCTGTGTTTTCTTTTCTCATCAACAACCGCATATCTATCAGAAACAGACTCCACTCGAGTTTTAACAGAACTACTTTTCTCGGTTTCCTTTTGTGGATGTTCCTGAGCTGAAAGCAATGGACGGTTTGAATCCTTTTTGGGGTGCTGTTTATATTTGCTAGAACCAGAACCTGATCCGCCGCCAGCTTTTTCAGAAGGAGATTTCCGGGTGTTTCTTTTAACTTGTCCTTTTTCAACCGTTAGACGACTGCCATTTTTGTCATTAGACCGAGAGTCAAGTTTCTTATTCAGTTCTGGAAGAGGTGCCCAAAAGTGTGACCTCGTCCATCGGGAAAGCCACTCCTTAGCCAGATTAGGGTCTCCATGATCAAATCTGAGAGATAGAGGAACTGCTAGGGATGATGAAGCCAAAAGCTGTAATGGATACTGAATGTAATAAGTTTTTATCAAAAACCAAATTTATAATTTGTGACTAATTATCTTCAAAAGAATAAGAACTAAAATGGAGAAATAAGAGAAAATAAACCATTTGTTCACAACCTTTATTATACCATTCATATTCTCAAATTGTATCAACAAAAGAGTGTGCCAATTTGGTACAATGCTAACAGTTATCAACTTAACAGGAAAATTCACAACACAAGGTTAACTAGTCCAGCGACCAAACATATCTCCATGATGCTTAGAAAAGACAGACAATTCAAAATTCGTTGGGTATTAGATGATAAAGAAAATTGAACTGAAGCATATAGTGCATATAAAATGTGGGGTAAAACAAGGTCATGAACCTAGAAATGCAACTAAAACAAGTTGTAGACATAATCTTATAGGACATATAACAACAACAACAACCCAACCTTATTCCAACAAGTTGGAATTAGCTACAGAGACAAACAACGTCGTAATGCTCTATTATCACATGTACATTGTCTAAATCCATGAGACATAATATGAGACAATTTTCGGAGCCCAAAAGTTGAGCAACTTTTTTTCTCATTTCAGGCAATAAGTACTACTGCTGGCAACATAAAAAATAGCTTGGTATTAGGAACAGATGAAAACACAAAGATCTTAACAAAACATGCGAATAAAACATCCATAGACCTAAATATTAGGTGATTAATAATATGAGGTATTTTTTAATTAACTGGAACAACTTCTGTTTCAGATATTTGGAGCACCTAAACGAATCTATTTACTCTGTCTACAATGCATTAAAACAGAAGTTCCTACCTTGTGAACAAAGACACTATTGGACAGCTTTTCTGACTGTGTTGTTGTGACTACTCCAATAGAATTTGAACATTTAGTGTCCTAACAAAAAAAATGTTGAAGAAGCAGTTAGTGAAGTAATAGAAGGGTAGGGAAGAGGAAATTGATGACTTTCGCCTTTTCATCTATGTCAAGGAATATGTTCTGCAACATACTAATCATATGATAGGAAACACCTTATGATATGGATTATTGCATTGATTGAATTGAATCTATAATGTTTACCTTACGAATTTTCAGTACTGCAATCCCAATATCAGAACGCCTAACATTGTAACCACGAGCCAATGCTTGAAATTTAACTATTCCCTTCACACAGTATAAAGCAGAAATGGCATGTCTTCTAACCAAGTGGCCACGAATAAGAGCTTGCAGTTGTATGATACCTTTGTGTGTTTGAAATGTCACACGAGCCTTCAATGAAGTTAACAGGAATTACTTAGAAGTATTCATTAATTCATTAAACATAAAAAGGGCGGCCCAAAATGTTGTTTCCAAGATTTGAACCACCACCAGATTACAAGGCAAACAACCTTACCGTTGCGTCCAGACTCACCCTCTTTCATTAACTCATTAAACATATATAAATAAATTTTGCAGATGATGAATAAATGCTTAGGAAACTTGCATTTGATATCTTATAAATTGTGAATATTTTTAATCAAATATATTATGAGAGAATTTAGAAATAGAATGCATTAATAAAATGAAATACATAATATTTTC